CGGTGGTGGCTGCGTTGATCACGGCGGTGTACATCACGGACTACTACCTGAAGACCTGGAGCCTGAAGCTCCAGGAAGACCTCAGCGAGGTCTGCAAAATACTCTACCTTGACCCAGTCAGGGGGATCCTCCAATACCTACCCCTTGTGGGTAGGACGTTTACCACCTCACCCTGTCACCTTTCCCCAGGAGAGGCTGAGGGTGTGTGGAAAATCCCAGTAGTCCGCTGGGCCTTAAGGGTGTTGTCCCTGCGACGCCGCCTCAAGTACGCGCCCGCGTGCTGCCCCCAGCCCATCATCTCCTACACCTCGGCGATCCTTCTCGCCCTTGCCCTCATCATCACCGTCTTGTTCATCGTGGCAGTACGAGCACTACTGATAAGGTACGTGCCGGAGAAGGAACGCATAAAAGCGTGCCACCGTCAGAGAAAGGTTGTGTCCCATAGGCACAAACAGAGCAAGGCCGATACCTCCTCCTCGGAGGAGGAGTCGTCGGAGGAGGAGGAGTCGTCGGAGGAGGAGTCGTCCGAGGAGGAGTCGTCCGAGGAGGAGTCCTCCGAGGAGGAGTCCTCCGAGGAGGAGTCCTCCGAGGAGTCGTCGTCCAAGTCGTCGTCCGAGTCGTCGTCGTCCACCTCCTCCTCAAGGTCACGAAGACGGCGTAAAGGAAGGAAAAAAAAGAAAGACCGAAGAAAGAAGAAAAAAAAGAGAAAGAAGAAAAAAAAAGGCAAGAAGAGGCGCTGACTGACTTAAATTTTTCATTAATAAATTTCTTTTTACCGAAACAATTTGTCCTACACTATACCGTGAATTGAAATTTATGATATTAAACACTGTCTATAAAGGCTAAAGAATGTAAGGAATCACGATTAGCAAATAAAAAGCTATGGAAAACACTGCAGTGTTATGGTGCGTATCAGAGCCTTCATCTTACCTTATAATAACACCATTTACTACAGTGTGAGTCTCTTAGGTAAATGATATGGCTTACTGTGGTGTTACAGTGCATACTGTTCTGTGTTATGTACTGTACTGTACACTGTACTGGGTGTTGGGTCCGGTAACTTTAGTGCCGGCTGGTTAGCAGTTCCTTGAATTAACAAGGTCATGACGCCGGGTTGAGCTGATCGAGTGGCGGTGAGAATTCTGTTTCCCTTGTGAACTTGATCTCCCTTGGGTCAGGTCTGGCCATCTGTGTTTGCCCGGGTGCGTAGTCGTGTCGCAGGTCGGTAATGCTTCCTAATTATTACCACCTCGACATGTCAACACGTTATTAGGTTACTCAGAACATCTCTACACCCTAGCATAACACTCAGCACATCTCTACACCCTAGCATAACACTCAGCACATCTCTACACCCTAGCATAACACTCAGAACATCTCTACACCCTAGCATAACACTCAGAACATTCTTTACACCCTAGCATAACACTCAGAACATTCTCTACACCCTAGCATAACACTCAGAACATTCTCTACACCCTAGCAGAACACTCAGAACATTCTCTACACCCTAGCATAACACTCAGAACAT